AGGGATTTCCCACAAGAGTCTCTGGTCGTGCTGAGTAGGAAGGGTGTCCTCAGGCACAGGCCATAAAGATTATGTTAGAAGTAATGTCTGAAAAATTCAACCTTACCAATTAGTGGCGTTCAGCTCAGAAAGTTTATTCCCAGTGGTTTTTTCCCTATGATGCCTGGGCTAGCCTTTCTCCTGCTTTGATGAGCAGAGCTATCTTATTTTCAACATGAAGCTACTAAAGAAGACTTTGCAAGCCAGTAAACACTCAAAATAAATACAAAGTCCTTGGTAGTTGCAGAAACCACCTACACCTTCTGTTTTAGACATAAATGCCAACTTTTAAAAATACATCATGTTTTCTTAATCAACATCTTTCTACGGGGTTATTAAAGCATATTATGAATTTTACTTTGGAATCAACAGATAGGCATTGAACACCTATGGTGCCAGGCATTTCCCATTTATATCTTGCTATTGATTTTGTATATTGTAAGTATCCTCTAATTGAGAAGTACACTCTCCTTATAGTCTTGTGCTATCAAATTGAATCTCTTCTGTCCAATTGAAGTCTCTTCATTTTATACTAAAAAAAAGTCATGCACTGGCCCAATACATAATATGTAACCAGAGCCATCAAGATCCTAATGTTACAAATATTTGAATATGGGGCTACATTTCTGTCTTCGTGATAGCTTTGTAAACAATCCAAGTTAAGTTACAACTGAGTGAATATAGACATAGACACATAAATTATACATATGGAATAGTATTTACACTGTACTGTCTCAGAACCTGGTCACCCTCCTTATGAAGAAAAAAGAAGAGGAGCATCCTTTGTACCATACTTATATGAATATGAAATTATAATTCTTAGCCTATACCTGAGGGGGTTTTTCCCCATTAGCACAGTGGTTCTCAACCTTTCTAAACCTGCAACCCTTTAATACATTCCTCATGTTGCAGTGACCCCAACCATAAAATTATTTAGTTGCTACTTCATAATTATAATTTTGCTATGAATCATAATGTAAATATCTGATATGCAACCCCAAAGAGGTCGAGACCTACACAGTGAGAACTGCTGCCTTAGCATAATGCAAAATTAAAAGATCCTGTCAAATCCCTAAATTTGCAAGCTTCTAGAGTATACTGTCTTTGCATGTCTCATTAGTTGTGCATACATAGCTACTGTTCTCCTCAGTAGTTAAGGAAATCTACAAAGAGAGATGGCTCTGTTGTGTGAGTGAGAAGGGGCACAGGGCACCCAGTTTCATCTGGCAATGTGCAGAACAGCTCTGTTGCATTATTTGGCAGAGACGGAAGATACTTTCCTCTCTGTGTTTTTGCATACACCCCTTCCACCCTAAGGTCTGAGCCTTATGGAAGTGCGCCTGCCATTTGTGCCCAGGTTTATAGACATCAGTCTAGTTCATTTTACAGATTTTACATTACAAAAAACATTGATCAATTTGTGCCAGTGTATGACACTCTTCTCTGATTCAGCAGTATCTACTATTCCTACATCTCAAAATGAGAAGAGACATTTCGAGACCTTGTTTGGAAAACATATTTGCATAATTTGAAAAATTAGCTTGTAACTAGAATTTGTTGAGTGTGCCCTTCATGCCGTTTCCGGCATTGACAATTTTAGATGATCTCCTCCAATCTCCACACTAACACCATGATCTGTGTTTATTTTTTACCCCATTCAACATACAATAAAATAAAGGTTAGAAGATCATACAACATGCCTAGTTCACAAGGTCCCCAAATTGCCTTAGGGCCATCATACTGTCATCCCAAAACCCACTGCAAAGTTGGTCTTTGCAATTCCTCTTATTCTCATGTCTTTTCAGTAGACCAAGTCCCTCCAGAATAAGATTGACCTTTTGAAATTGGCCCCCTGGACCACAATGCATTATTTGAAAACGAAGTACTGTAGGAACTCACCTACTTAGGCAAGCATACCTGTATGCAGGCATGTCCATGATCCATCCAGCCTCCTCTGGATCCTCTATCTCTCGGCCCCTGCTAGTGGCACCATTGGAATGGAGGGCTAGCATACTAAACTGAAGTTTAGTAACAAACCATTCTAACCATTTGGGGAAGGATGGGCAGATTGTCTTTCCAAAGCAATATACTGTGGTACTATAGCAGTTTTTTTTTTTTTTAAGTACTCTGTGAACTAAAAGTTGATACACTTCTAAAATATTTAATTCTCTGGAAGTAACTTCTCTACTTACAGCATCTGGCTGGTTAGAGCCTGAATCCCAGTTGGGTTTGTTCTGTTAGCATCCATGTTTCAAGCACAGCTCATTAGCTTCAGCCCTTTTTGTTTCTCCCTGTTTGTTGTAATGCTGCATATTGATTTCAGGGCCTCTGGCATACTGGGTAAGCACTCACTGATGAGCTTCATCCCAGCCCTCTGGTTTCTTAAATAGTGGCCTTGTGCTACCCTTCTTACTGAAAATGACCTCAGCAAGGACATTTCACCTGATAATGGAATCTGATGCATTCAGAGTTTCCTGATCCAGATGTGAAGGACAAGATTTTCCCAATAGTGATGGAGATCACTGAACGTGTGCCATTTTTACATATTGAGAGGTCCTGTTGACCTCTCCCTGACATCTGTCCCCTTGTTCATCTTGTCTGCCTTTTAGTTCATAATTATATCTTCAAATCACATTCACAGTCATTCTTACTGTGTTACACACATCATATGCTTTGTGCTCTTGCATTTAGAAGTGGTTTTGAAAATAGCATTAGAGTACAGCAGGGCAAGTCTTCCAAGTAGCAATATTTCTGTTCAGTGGCAATACTGTAATTGAAGCAAACAGAAAAAGCACATTATTTGTTCCCTAGATGGGCAGGAGGTACTCTTTGAACAGTTTACTTGTAGTGGAAGGAGGCAGTGTCTGTCATGCTGGCTAGAATCTCATGATCTGTCTCTAGTTGGCACCTGTCATTGATGTAAATGTGTTCAAACAAGTTGCCAATCACAAAAACAACTTTATCACCTGTGGCTTCCATAAAACACACCAAAGGACAAGACTGCAATGATGCCCAACCATTTCTTATCCTGTTCTTTTTAAAAGATAATTTTAATTTTAAATTTCATCATTTCTACCTCTTAGAATGAGGCTTTGCCTGGAGTCCTTTTATTTCTTTTTCTTTTTTTTTTTTTCTTTTTTTTTTTTTTGACTCATTGGAGACTGCATTAAACAACAGTTTAATTTGCTTGTTTCCACATCTTCAAGGAGAAAAGCGTGTCATAAAACAGAACCATTTGCTGTTGGTTCTTTCTTATCAGAATTATGCAAGTATGATTGTGTGAGAGAGGCAGTTGGTGAAGAAAATGAAAACCTTTGATTATCGATGAATGATCGACATCATTTCATGCAGACCTTGCAGCCAAGCAACAAAAGAGTCATTCCATCAACTTCCAGGAAATTGTGCCAAACCCAGTAAAGGTGCAATATATAATTAAAGTTTTGATGTATTAATTAGACAATCCGAGAGCTCACTTGAAGATAAAAGGACACCAGATGTGTCAGGGAGAAAAAGTTGACGTGCTTTAGATAAAATTTAAAATCAAAAGCCTTCAAATCGTCCTCTGCTCTATTATAGCAGAATGATTGCTTAGTTCAAAGTCTTGCTGACAATTTAACATATTCAGTTTGATCATCTGGGCTTAGATTTTTTTTTCTTTCTTTGCCCTTTCCTTATCCCCAAATAATTTTTGAGATGATAGAAGATACAGTGTATCAAGTACCAGACAGAGGCTTCCTATCAGATTCCTGGATTTAAGGGTCAAACCTCATTTATATTTAGCTCTCTTGTTTACAAGGTGGAAGATGTTCTTTCATTTTTATCATTGTGGTCCACTAGGTCAAGCTTTTAACATGAGCAAAGGCAACTTATTAATATTTATAAGGTGTAAAAATTTATTGACTTTTAAAAAATAACATCTCAGTAAAATCTCACTTGCCTGGAACTTGGTACTCTGTCCGTGGTGACATTCTCTCTTCTTTGTACTTATTATGGATACAGAAGTGGTTTTCCTTCCTGCTGGGATGTATTGATGGAGAATAATGAAGTTAGCATTTGCAGAGAGCATGTGTGCAGTGCCACGTTCATCCTTGGCTGATACAAGCCCTTTAAATGCAGCATCCCCTTCTCCTCTTTTCTCCCTTCTGTGAAGTAGAAAGGGACAGCCATTGTGCTTTCTTGGCACTGAGGTGACTTAGCCTTGCCTTTAAGATCTGGTGGGGTTAGGGGTTTTGTGTATTTAGATTTTTTTCCTTCACTTTTCTATTTCCCATTTCATTTTTGTTCACTTCATGTATAAGAAAGCTGTTCTTCTTTTCTTAGCTTTTCCAACTGAGGCTTTGGGGTGTAGTTTCATGCCTGCGTCTCTGAGGTGAAGGAACTTGATGGTTTAAAGAAGGATGCCATCCAACCAGCATCTCAGTGTCTCCATGTCTTTGTTTGTCATTACTGGTCATTGTTGTGTTCAGCATTGTGGGTTTGATTTTCCTTTTTTTTTTTATCCAGATCCCCCCACAACTATCCCTCCTCCCACAACAACCACCACCACTACCACCACCACCACCACCACCACCACCATCCTTACCATCATCACAGGTATGGTACCTTCATTGCCACTGGAAATGTCCTGAATGTATATTGTCTTTCTGGTATAAACAAGGAGAAGCCTACCTGTCCCCTTCTGAGCCTAACCATTCCTTTATTTTGGAGCTCCACAGACACTTGATACTGTACTCTTGAATTGAATCTTAAGGATCTAGGGGAAACTTTAACATCTGAGCCTTTAACAGATCAGATGACTTACCTTACTTAGTGTGAGGGGATTCTTTTTGAAGTGTCACCACCCAAAGCAATAACACTAGGAAAAATGGCAGCCTGGCTACTAGAGAACCCTCCAGTAGCTTCCGGTTGGCTATAGCTGGTGGAATGGTAAGTATTGTGGCCTGGATCATGTCCTGGTCTAAATTTCATCTTAATCCAATGAAGAAAACAAAGCACAAATTTCAGCATGCCTCCTTGGGTCACACTACGGAATGCCCTGTCATCCTCTTTCCTCCAGTGTGTGCCCACTAGCAGTATAGCTGCATGAGCCTCTTGTTGCCCAGGAGATTGCAGGAATCAGGGAGCCAGTCTTTTCCAAGCTGAGCACTCATGTGCACCACCTCTTTTTTATATGGCCTTTCTCCTCATCCTGGTGTCCAGTGGCTCGCAAATAGTTTGATGTTGCTTGACTGGGAGCCTTGAGGTTTCTTCTGCTATAGCAAGAGAGGACAGCTTTTGGCTATACCATACCATACCAACTCAAATGTGTAGAACTTCCTTAGACCAGGCCTTCCCCAACCACTGCTTCTTAGTGTCCACTCTAAGGAAGGATAGAATCTCTTGAAAAAGTGACTTTGCCACTTAGGTCTGTTACCTGGCAAGTGTCTGAGGTCCCTTTGAACCACGAGTCCAGCCATTCCATCCCTGGACTCCTTGATACCCACTGAATATCTCACTTGGTGCCCTTCATGTTCAGCTCTTTAGCACTCAAGGTCTAGCAACCACCTTCTAAGATCACATTGATTTTTCTGGAGACATTTTATTTTCCATTTGCTCAAGAGTCGATGAGATGCCAGAGTACAGAGTGCTCAGTGAAAGAGGAGGCCCCATCAGTAGATCTTACAGTGGATCGTCTAGTCCAAGTTTTCTTCACTTTGCAGCTGTTGCAGTGGGACAAAGAACTCTGCCATAACCCACCATTGAAGGTCTTCCTAAATACTGGTTACAAACACACCTGTGCCTGTACTAAATGTTATACCTTCTAAAAAATCCATCAATTGGTGTTGTGTCTCACTCTATACCTGGCTCCATCTAGAAAATTTGCTTCCTAATTCCTGTCTGTGTGTTTCTGCTTGAGCTGTCAGTTCCCCTTGCTTCTTAGTGAACTCAGTTTTGTGCATAGTAGACCAATCCCTGGCATCTTCTGTATCATTCATTAGCATATCAAAGATGTTCTTCCTCCTTTGTTTGGATGTCCACAGCAGCCTTACTGCTGGTGCTTCATCCTAAGAATTCAGTTCCTTGTCTCTTATCTAGTTAGTAAACTGGACTGGGCGTGTACTTTTTTATTGTGTTTTGTTTGACTGGTATTGCTGGGGGTGGAACACAGGGCCTCTGGAATACTAGGCAAGCACTGTATAGCTGAAATATATCCTCAGTCATGTGCTCTTCTTACCAGTTTCATAGTTTCCTGGGAAAGGCTGTCAGATAAATAACCAAATTGTGTAGGTATCATTAGCAGTGTGTTCATCTTTGGAGAAGTATGACCTAGCTTTATACCTCCTGTTGCAGAAAGTACTATTTAGGTATCTATAAGGGTTTACATCTTAAGCCAATAAAGTCCTCATTCATTCTGTGTATAAACTCCCCATTTTTCTTGAATGTGAAACAACACTTCATTTGACTGGCCTCATCACTGGCTTAGGCTTGCTTTGTTTTTGTTTGTTTGTTTGTTTTGTTTTGTTTTGCTTTTGTTTTAAGAGCATTAGCATTCCCTGACTCTTCGCCATCACCACAATCAATCTCTCAAGTCACTTGAGTTGCTCTAATTCACAGCTATAATCTTTTGCTCCCAAGAACCTCCTTCTCCTCTGAGGTCCTCCGACATCTGCAACTCATGTGATCACAGTTCTGACTAAACAGACTCCATTTAAAAAGAAATTCCTAGAATAAACAACACCATATTTCTGCCACATCAGAGATGCCTTTAATTGGAATGTGTCTACTTCTGTCCCTGCCACTGGCCTCTCAGTTCAAAATAACTCAGGATGATGTCATAGGTACACCTCGGTCCGTGGGTGTTAACACTCAAATGCTCTCTCTATACACCAAATGCATCTGTAGTAATGAATGCCCAGATCTTCAGTGGCACACCCAAGCGTCATTAAACTAAAACTGCTACTAAAACAACCTTGTGGGATCGGTCACCTTAATGGATGTGATCTTTCAGGGTTACTCTGTCTTAACAAGCCACATTCTATATATTTATCTTGCCCAGAAAGCAACCTGTAGAATTTAACATTTGTTCCTTTCTCCAAACAGATTAAAGGTTATGGATTTAGATGGTTCTGTGTCCCATTTTAAAGGTCCAGGCTAGCCTCTAGATTTAAATTGGTTCCTAAAGAATCTTCCAGACTGAATCCTGACAAATGGATAGCTAAATTAATTTCCACTCCTCCTCTCTCTTGTACTGTTTGGTACGTTTACAGTCACCATTAACCTTAAAAGCTTCAACAGCTGAATCCAGTGACAGTAACTTAAAGCTGGGGCTCTAAAAAGAAAAAGAAGCAGCTGCAGTCAGCTATTTCTTTCCTCCTAAGTCAAGTGCAGTAACTGGAACCCATTTTCCAGGTTAGGATTTCATTACCAGAAAAATGTTGAAATGCAATTGAAAATATTTTTAAGCCCAAAAGGTCCTAGCTGGTTTCTGATTTCTCTAAAAGAAGCATTGCATAGCATAGCTATCTTTCATCTTCCCTAACCAGGGTAATGGAATTGTTCTCCATTCTGGAGACCCTTGAAGGGGAGGAATCCTACAGGCCTCCAACTGTTCTAACCACCTTCCCCCTCAATCTTACATTTTCTAGTTTCCTAGGAGGACAGTGGCATTTGCATACCGTCCTCTCCACTTGGTGATTTGTCAGTCACACCTGAATGGTAGCCCTGTCTAAGGAAAAAAATCTCTGCAGTGTGTTAAGTATCGAAAAGAATACGCAGCCTGGCCATGGTGTACACACTTTAATCCCAGTGGTTGGGAGGCAGAGGCAGGTGGATCTCTGTGAATTGGAGGCCAGCCTGTTCTATATAATTTGGCTTTGTCTCAAAAAAAAAAAGAATATTTGGTATCCAACTACCAAATCAGCAGAGTTGTATCTTTATCATTGGCATTATTTTAAGGCCTCTCCACATACAAAATAATTTGAGAATAGAATTGGGTGAGAAGCCATTTAGAGCCTCGTTGGCATTTGCCCTCAGGTTCACAAGTATCTCTCATCATTCCTGCTTGTTGACATTATGATCACTTGAGTCTGTTCAGCTCTTGGCTTTGGCAAACTCCCACCCTTAGTGTTTTGTTTTTTACCACGTCAAGTTGTCCATGAGGTTTCTTCATTTGTGAGAGTATATGCCATGGCACAGGAAAGCAAACCAGATGAATTATTTGACCTTTCTTCTTAGGCAAGCTCGTGTTTTAGGGCTAGTGTCAGTTCCTGTTTCTTGCTTGGTGATAACCTTTAGCCTCTTCCTCTCTATTGGGTCAGGCTTCCCTCCTCAAACTTCCTTGGGAAAATGTTCTATGTTTTTCTCCTTAATTAACCTGGATATTGAATTGTTCCTGACTGGTAGAGTCCTGACTTGGGTGCTTGATAGAGAGTGCCATGAAAAATGCTCAGTATTCAGTCCCACACACTCTTAACAGTTTAGATACAAAATTCAGGCCAGGGGGAGCTCAACCTGTAGGTCACACTATACACGAATCTGCCATAAATTAAAAAAAAATTAAAATGGCCTTAGAATAAGAATGAATAGCTATAGGGCCAAATAGTGAGATGCATTTAAATATTCTTTCATAACAGTGAAGTAGGTCATTTCTAAATGAGTTTTTCTCCTTTTTAAAGGCATGTATTCAATTAAATATTGGGTGTTTCTTGGAAAAGAAAATAGCAAGGTTTCTCTTACTGATGTCAAAGCACTCAAAAGCCAATATACCTAGGAGGAAGTAACTCCTAGCCTCAGGCCCATGTTATTATTTGGGCTTTCACAGCTTGATATCATAGGTTTTTCTCAATGTAAATGTGGATCAGATCATGTAAAAAAAAGCAGACACAGGCTTTATCCTTTAGTGATATTTGGAGATTGTGCCAGTAAGGGAACTTACACCTAGCATGTGTCTTAGACATATAGGAGAGGACTCGTGTGCTTGGTGCAAAGTCTATGGTGTGGCCATCTAAGTAGTAATGGAGCTTTGCTCCACACCGAGATTTCAGTTCCTCCAATTTGAGCCCAGTGATTCTAATCCTGTGCTGCTGGTGTTGGCAAGGCGCAAGGGCTATAAGCTGATCTGCTTTTACATATGCATTCCATAGAGATTGAGCGCCCACAGTGTATGCAGAGAAGGAGTCCTTAAACCCCTTCCTGTGTGGTTGAGAGATGCCATGCAGCTGGAGTGTTAAGTGTCAAAGGCAACAGGTGCCACAGGAGAGCATCGAAGAAGGGATCTTTGCTCTGTGCCATCAAAGAACAGATAGAATGTAGGTACAAAAGAATAGCATTTGGAAATGAAGCATGAAGAACCCATAGTACTTCTAGCATCTCTTTTCAAGGTGTATCTATTTATGCTGCCAAGAGTAAGCCCCCTTCTTTTCTAGGAAACACATCCTTCATCCTAGGACATTGACTGAATTGTCTTCTTCCTAGGGTTGGCATCTACTCCGTGAATACACTCTTCCCTCATGCATTGAACCCTTACAGAGTGTAACTGATAGGCCAGTATGTTTGAGAACAGGATCATGAGCCTCTTTTTACCTAGTAGACCACCTTTGCATGTCCATTTCTTT